TTGGTCATAGTGTGTAATTCTTTTTATGTACTGCTGAATTTTATTTGTTAATATTTTGTTAAGGATTTTTGCATCTATTCATAAGTGACAGTAGTTTGCAGTTTTCTTTCTTTGTATGGCCTGTCTGATTTGGTATCAGGGTAATATTAGTCTCATAAAATAAGCTGGAAACCTTCCTTCTCTTTCTCTTTTCTGGAAGAGACTGTATAGAATTGGTACGAATTCTTCTGTAAACCTTTGGTGGAATTCTCCAGTGAAAGCATCTGGGCATGGAGGTTTCTTTTTCAAAATTGAATCACCAATTCAATTCAGTTTAATTCTTCAGTTTCTTTAATATATTTATGGGGTTATTTAAATAATCTATCCCATAGTGTGTGAGCTGTGTTTTATTTTGAGAAATTGGTCCATTTCATTTGTCAAATGTATGTCTCTTTTTTGTAGTATTCTCTTATTGCCCTTTGATGTCTGTAGAGGCTGTAGTCTCATCCCATTTCACTTTCAATATTGGTAATTTATGTCTTCTTTTTTTTCTTTGTCAGTTTTACAAGAGAGGGGTTGGCAATTTTATTGATCTTTTCAAAGAACTACCTTTTTATTAATTTTTCTCTGTTGTTTTTGTTTTCATTTTCAATGATTTCTGCTCTTATTTCCTCCTGCTTACTTTGGGTTTATTTTGCTCTTTTTCTAGATTCTTGAGGTAGGATCTTCTTGATTTGAGAATCCTCCACTTTTCTAATGTATGCATTTAGTGTTATACATTTCCCTTTCAGCACTGACCTGGCTGCATCCCACAAATTTTGATATGGTGTATTTCACTTTCATTTAGCTTGATGTATTTTTAAATTTCCTTGAGAGTTTCTCATAGACCCACTGGTTATATAGGAGTATGTTGTTTGTTTCCAGAGGTTTGGAGATTTTTCTGTTATCTTCCTGTTATTCTAGTTTGATTCTATTGTGGTCAGAGAACATACGTTGTATGATTTCAATTCTTTAAATTTGTTAAAATTTCTCTCATTGTTATGTAATATACCTCTCTGTCTCTGGTAAAAATTTTTGCACTGAAGCCTACTTTATCTGATACTAATCACCACTCCTGCTTCCTTTTGATTAATGTTTGCATGATATATGCAAACACATTTCTATCCTTTTACTTTTGACCAGCCTACCTTGTTAAATTTCAAGTGAGTTTCTTGTAGATAGCATATAATTGGGTCACATTTTAAAATCTACTCTGCCAACCTCTGCCTTTAATTGGTGTATTTAGACTGTTTACTCTAATGTTAATTGCTATTATATAAGGGCTTAAGGCTGCTTTTGTTTTTTGTTTTGTTTTGTTTTTCGGTTCTCTATTTCTTTTTTCTGCCTTCTCATGTATCACTGAAATGTTTTTAAAACTCCATTTTTATCTATCTATAGTATTTCTTGGATGTATCTCACAAAGTAGCTTTGTTAGTGGTGTTCTAGGTATTACATTATTCATATGATTTATCACACAGTCTACAGTTTAACAGTTCAAGAGAAATGTAGAAAGCTTACCTCCCTTTAAGTCCTTTCATTCCTGTTTATAATTGCCTTAAATTATGCGTAACTTCTACACATATTGAGAATCACATTAGATGCTATAATTTTCCCTCAATCATCAAACCTTATTTAAAAAACTCAAGACGAAAAGAAACTTCTTTATATTAATCCATATTTTTACTTTATTGTTCTCTTTTCCTTCCTGTTGTTCCAAATGTCCTTCTTTAACATTTTCATTCTGTTTCAAGAACATTCTTTAGCCATTCCTTTAGGATATAGGTCTGCTGGCAACACAGTCTCTTTGTTTTCCTTCTACCTGAGAATGTCTTGATTTCCCCTTCATTCCCAAAGGACATTTTCACTGAACACAGAATTCTAGATTAACAGTTTTTTTTTTTCTTTTGTTGATCTACTTCCATGGTTTCTGGTGGTACCATGATTTCTGATAAAAAATCCGTTATCATTTGATTTGTTATTTCTGTATAATGAAAATGTTTTCTCTCTCATTGCTTTAGGATATTTTTCTTTGTCCTTAGTTTTCAAAAGTTCGATTATGGTGTGTCTTGTTACAAATTTATTTATGTTTATCCTGTCTGGGTTCCATCATCTTCTTGAATTTGTAGATTTTTGGCTTTTGCCAAATTTGGGGAATTTTCGGTCGTTATTTGTTTGAATACTTTTTCAGCCACATACTCTTTTTTTGCTCTCCTGGGTCGCTAATGACATAAACATCAGATCTTTCCATATAGTCCTACATGTCCCTGGAGCTCATTTTGTCTTTCAGTCTATTTTCTTTCTGTTGTTCAGATTGGGCAATTTCAGTTGCTCGGTCTTCAAGTTCACCGACTTTCCCCCGCTCTGTCCTATCCATTTTACTACTGAGTCCATCCAGTGAGTTACTGTACTATTCAGGTATAAAATTTCCATTTGGTTCTTCTTTATATCTTCTATTTATTTGCTAAGACTTTTTTTTTTTTGCTGAGATTGTCTGCCTTTTTCATTTTTTTCAATTGTGTTTATAATTGCGTCTTGATTCAGTTTTATGATAGTCGCTTTAAAATCCATCAGATCACTCCAGCATCTGTTTCACCTTGGCACTGGTATATGTTAATTATCTTTTCTCATTCAAGTTGAAGTTTTCCTGATTCTTGGTGAGTTTTGTTTTTCTTTTTTTAAAAAACTATATCTTGGACATTTGGGATAGTATATTGTGAAAGTCAGTCTTATTTAAATCTTAGTGTACTTTCTTCGACACCATGCTAGTGGGGGAGGGGGCACTGACTCATTCCTCCCAGGCGGAGGTGGAAAGCTAAACTCTCCATTTGGCCTCTCTTGACACTTAGGGTAGGAAAAGGGGGAATGATGCCTTATTGATACTGGGTGGGGTAGAAGTTTAGGGTCCCCACTAGGCCTTCACTGACATCATCCTGGCTCAGATGTTGATTATCTTTTCTCATTCAAGTTAAACTTTTCCTGATTCTTGATGAATTTTTTTTCTTTTTTTAACTACATCTTGGACATTTGGGGTAGTATGTTATGAGAATATGGATCTTATTAAAATTTTCTGTTCCCCACCTGGCCTCCACTGATACTGCAAGAAGATAGGTCAGTGGTGAAAGTCCTGGACCTCCACAAGACCTTCTCTGACACCACCCTGATGGGAAGGGAAAGAAGTATCTCATTACTATCAGGTAGGGAATGGAAGTCCAGGTCCCTATGTAGCCTTCAGTGACACAGTGGGAGGAGGTTCTTCTTAATACTGGGGAGTGTTGGAGGTCCTGGCTCTCCACAAGAACTTCTCGGACACTGTCCCAGCAGGGAGAAGGAGGGAACCTCATTATAACCAGAAAAACCTTGGCTGACAGGGTAGAGAGAAAGGATGGAGCCACAATTTCGTCTACGGTGTCTGACCAAAGTAAGGCAGTTATTGTCTAAACGTTTTCTGTCTTGCCAGGCTGCCCCTTTCCTAGTCCTTTAGCTAGAGAGTGCAAGCTTTTGGCTGGAGATGTGTGGTCTTTACCATTAATGTTTTGAGGTTATAGCTTCTCTAGCACCCAGTTCAGGATATCTGAGCCAAAAAAAACCCAGGGAATTCACCTGTGTGTTGCTACTCAGGTCCCAAGGTCCCCAGCTGGCTTGCCTTCCTCCTTCTACCTCTCAATCTTCTTATGTTTATTTTAGATACAATTTGTAGGATTTGATTGTACTTAGTGGAAGAAATAGGGGAAAGTGCATCTCCTCCATGTTGTCTGAAATTGGAACTCTTATTTTTATATCTTCTGGTGTTTCTAAAATATTTCAAAATAACTTCTTAAAAGATTAGATGATGCTGGTGAATATTAAAGTGTCCCACTCTCTGCCTCCTCACTGCTCTAGAGAGGACTAACTCCCTTTTCCTGCTCAGCCTTGTCCTTTTCTTCAGGTTGCCCCCTTCCATCCCCTCCCACCAACCCCAAGAAAAGAAATTTAAGCAGCTTCTGTTGAGAATAGGGCTAAGTGGAAGACAGAAACCAATAGCAAATCATGTTACATCCAAATTTCATCATGGGAAAAAGGGTTATTAAAGGGGGTTTTAATATTTTTAAAAGGGAAGTCATTAGAGGGTTTTAATATTTTAAATATTTAACTATTAGTATAGTACTATGTGAAGGTTCTTGCTCCCATGAATCATCATGCACAGAGGATTCAGAGAAGAGACCATCAAACAATCCAAAGAGATGTGTTTCAATATTTTAAGAACCTGGATAGTCATACTGGCACATATCAGCTGAATACCAGCCTTACCTATAACTACCCAATGTTTTTTTCCTGCCAACAGTAGAGAGTGAAACTATAAAGATGAAGAAGGTTGTTTAAAAATATTTCTAATGACAAGCAGTACTTAATCAGAGTCAGGAAAGGGTGAATGAAAAGAAATATCTGATAATTCTTATTCCTTCATATTGCTAGAGGAACTCAAGAACCATGAAAAAATACATTAATTAATTCCTTTTGAGAGATGCAGTTGAGATCCTGTTGGTCACGAGTTAAACGGAACTCTACAATCCTTTCATAATCAGAAGAACAAAATATTTCAATACCCCAGGGTATACACTAATGTTATAAATGGACACACTGAAATTTCAAAAGCAGAATCCCAGTTGGATATATCCAAAAATCACTATGCACACAGCAATGCAGAGATCTTGGGAGAGTTTGCCGTCTGATATTTCAGAGCAGGAAGCAGTTGGAAAAAATCATTAAGAGCTCTGAGAAAAACTGAAATTACATTTCTAAAAGCTAAGAATAATTTACATTTTAAAAAGACACTATTTGAGAATCACAAAAGAAACTGATTGAGAGAATTAAAGGCATGTAGAACATTTCTTTTGTAGGTAGTTGGTTGAGTGGGAAACAGGATCCATGGCCAGATAAGACAAAGGGATTGGACACTGATCAGAACAAGTTTTGTATGTTAAGACCCAATGTCAGCTACTGGTCTACTTGCGGCCCTGAGGGATTGGAGGGAGGATGAGTTTGGTGTTGAAACCTGGGTGGCTGATGACCGAGACCATGTGTCTTCTGTGTTGGACAGACCCTTTGTCACATGGAAGTGGCTGTTTACATAGCTCTGTAAGACATTAAGAAAAAAAAAGACAGTACATAGAGTTAACCTCCTGGTACACAAGAGATTTATTTGTTTACAGAGAAAATAAACATTGCAACGTTGTAAGCACCAGAATATTGTTTAGAATTAATTCATAACAAACTAAAGGGAACAAAAGACATCCAAACAAGAAAAATAGGGGATGAGTTTCAAAACACATCATGTGCAGGGTTGGATGAGCCTTAGGCTGTGTAGACTTGCCCAGTGATCAGAAGGCTGGAACCCCAAGTAATCCCATGCTACTTTTCTATCCTGCTCATACCTACTGTAATGACGCCTGGCACCACATTCTTTTACAATCATACCTAACCTGGCTTAGTGCACACGCGCACGTGCACACACACACTCACACACACACACAGACATGCACCCATATATATCCTAAAGTCCTTCCTAGAAAAGCCTCATCCACTGTGCTCTAAGGTTGGTCTGTTCACCAAGGATGAAGACACCAAGGATGTACCATAAGGTTCCTTTGGGGACTATGGGCAGCAAGAAGAGTTTGAAAGAGAGAGACTGAAGGTAGAGCACAGAGTGGCCACAGAGGAAGCCAGATTCTCCCTGGGGAGAAGCAGTGTAGCAGGGGTTGAGAAAGTGAGGCAGAGGATTCTACAGAGAATGAGAAAAAATGGAGTGACCCATACCATAAGATTAGGAAGACTCCATCTATCAGGCAAACAGAAGCAATCTGAATCATGAAGGGAAATGGGCCTTTTTAAGGTATAATCAGAGCAAAAAGGGCACATTCCATGAGATGATACTATGTTAACAGAGGACAAAAAAAAAAAAAAAAAAAAGAGAGCGAGAGAGAAGAAAACGAAGAGCTCCTCCTTGTTTGCTGCTGCTGGTGCTTCCTTTTTTCCCCCTACCATGGAGATGTTTTTCAAACTGGAAAGGGTAACAAAAACATCTTAAAAGAAGGAAGGCCCTGAAGAAGAAAGAAGACAGTGGAAGAGTAGGCCTCCTTTCTAAATCAGTTCAAGTTTCCACACCCAGGCACACTCTATCCCAGGGTGCTGGAGTAAACTACAGAAGTGCTTTCAGAGCTTGGTCTTGGAGAGCTCACTGACAGCAAGAAAAGTACAGGAGACAACACTGCTTGGAACATGCAGAACAAAGGGAAACATGGGAACACGGGAACAAAGATTTACAAACTAGTGCACCTGACTTCAAACCTTAGCAAATTCAAGTTTGTGAAAGAAATGGTTTGCGCATTTATAAAACACCATAGTGAGTGATAAGTGTTGGAAGGAGTTTGCAAATTATGTCAAATTAATTATTTCAAATTAACTTAATTTCCCTTTTATTTGGGCACGGGTCAACAAATGTATAGCCCATAGGCCAAATCTGGTGTGCAGTGTGTTTCAGTAAATAAAGTTACTAGTACCCAGGCTATGACAGTTAATTTACATATTGTCTATGGCTGTTCTCACACCACAGTGGGAGGGTTGAGTCATTGCAGAAGGGTCTAGCCCTTTACAGAAAATGCTGACCTCTGAGTTAGAAAGCACCACTGATACAGTCTTGTCTTGATTTCTGCAAGGCACGTATCAAAGTTTCTCACATAAGGACACTAGAGAGATGTGAGTAGAAATCACATGGCAAGTAGGCTCTCCCTGGAACTGAGTCTCTGAAGACTTGTCACAGGACACTACTCTTGGCCAAGTCCTGGATCCTATTGTTGGCAGAGACTACAACAAAGGCATAGGTAGCATGCTTGCTTGTTTTACAGAAACTTATAAAACTGTAAATATGGAGGATGAACCAACACCCCAAATGATCAAATTAAACTAGAATGTGGGGCTGAAACCAAAATAATAAAAAGAAGAAAATAAAAGCTGCCCTCACATAAGAAGAAAATCAAGTACCTGTGTGTTAGATGACGGAAACCTGGTTTGGCAGTTCGTGTGCAAAAGACAGGTGAGCTTAACTGACCCGGAGCCAGTCGTGTGACCTATTGCTAAGAAAACCACCCCTGAGAGACACCGGCGAGACAGCGGACTGGGAAGCTCCAGGCCCTTGCTCCCCTGTGCAAACACTGAACAGTGAGACTAACTGAAACAACCTTGTAGGAGCTCAGTGAAAGAGCCCTAGCAACCAAGAGAATGCCCAATCAAGAAAAAGCGACATTAAAAACAGGAGGAAATTTCAGGGTTTTTTGCGAACCAGAGAGAGTAGAGCACTGTGCTAACCTGCCTGGGGGCTGCCTGATGGGTCTCTGTGTCCCCTAACTCGGGTTTCAGAGGGCCAGGAGTGACACGGCTGGGATCCCACACAGCTGAAGCTGCAGGAAGAAGCGGGTAAGGCTAGTGAAGACCCAGAGCTACGTACGCCTGGGGCAAGACATTACTAATCGAAGAGGACAAAAGAACATCTTCATAAAGTCCCAAGAAGAAGCTAGGGTAGGACGGTTAGGGAAATAAAGACTTCAAAAAGCGGCTGTGTATGCTGGGGAACTGGAAAGAAGCATACGCATAGGTCCAGGGAAAGTACATGCCCAGAAAAGGACTGGAAAGACCTTAAGCCTTCACACTGGACTGACCCTGGGCTCTGGACAAGACCCGGGGCGGCCTGCACACTTGGAGCGGTGGCTGCTTTTTCAAACGTGATGTCAAAACATCACATGGCACATAAAGAAACAGGAAAACATGGCTCGTTCAAAGGAACAAAATAAATCTCTAGAAACCATCCCTGCAGAAAACTACCACCATCTTCTGCTTATGTGTATACAAATTTATAATACCAAGTAGGTATCTAGCACCTGACTTCTTTCTTACACCACACCCCATCTTGTTGGTTCTAGATTATTATATATTATAATATACATGTATATATACATGCATATTATATATATAATATATATATTATATATACATATTATACATATATACATAATATATATACATGTATATACATGTATATTATATATATATTACATACATATATATACACGTGTATGTTATAATGTAATATATGGTGGTATAGGATGTTGCTATATTACTGTAGGACAGATATCATTCTCAAGGCACAGACATGATCTGATTTGCCCAACACTGTGCAGTCAGACAAAAGTAGAAACGGAGCTAGAACCTGGTCTTCTGATTTTGAATACAATGTTCTTTTCACAGGTAACAGCCCACTTCCACTCTGGTCAGACTGTTTGGAATGCAGTTTTTGACTCTAAGTATCCCATTGAAGGAAGGGTACAAGAGGACAGAAAATAAGATGGGAAAGGCCTGGAAACACTGTCCTATGGGATACCAGAACCATGGTGGGCCTTGGTGACACATTTGGTCCAGGGCTCCTGGAGTTTTGTCCTCAGGCTCCTAAGTGGCAGGTCACAGTCTTTAAGGGGTTCCTAGAACACTCCCCACAACTGGTGAGATGACAAGAAAGTGTCTATTTCAGAATCTGGGATGACTTCCTAGAACTTTGGTCTTGGGACCCTAATCCTTACCGTCTGTGTCCACCGTCACAAGTAAAATGCTTGAAAACACCTTATCCTGGCTGGCTGTCCTGAACGTAAGCACAGCTGGAGAGAGAGGCCTCCACCCCCGAGCTGGTGAGACGCTGCCTGTTTAGGAACCCTGCCTTCTGGACATGCCAACCACCAAGTCCTCTCGTCCCTGGCAAACTAACAAGTCTTTATTCTCTTTCTGGTTCCCCCAGTCACCCAAAGGAGGGGGTCCTCACCTCCCCTCTGGGCTCAGGCAGAACTTCACCACCCACCCAGGCTATAAGTGGCGGCTCCCTGTTAGCCTGCAGGTCCTACAGAGTCCTCCAAGTTCCTTATTTTTCTTTCCATTGCTCACAGAGCCCCACCTCCTATGCCAACACTGGGTTACTTTCTCCCGTTCTCTCTCCCTTTACCTCTAGCCCTTCAGTCTCCCCAACACTGTCCAAGGTCTTTACTTGCTGTCATTTGTGAACACCGCTAGTGATGTCCAGAGACAAAAATGCAATGCCCCTCTGGTCGGGGCCTGGAGATATGCATTCACCTGTGTGTGGAGGAGCAAGGGGCATGAAGGGGGTGACGTGGCTAGGCTGGGCCAGATCCTTTAAATCTAAAACCAACGGGATTTGGCCAGACTCCCAGGGCAGAAGATGGGCCAGCAATCGGAAACCTTCCGGGCTTCTCTTCACCCTCACTGAATGGAGCCCAAGTGCTCAAAGACCTCCTGCAGAGAGCACGTGCCCGCAACCTGGGAAGACCCCTGCCGGCAGAGTGGCTCAGTGAGCAGAACAGCAGCCTATTCTAAGCCCATTCTAAGCGGCCTAAGTAAGTGACCTTGGGCACATTCCCGACCTTTCTGAACTCATTTCTCATCTCTAAACAATGGGAGACAAAAAACCCACCCTAGCTCAGAGGAGAGAGTCTGACTTAAAACACTCATTTCATTAAAAAAAAAATCAGGAAACAGTGGGAAATAGATATAATTATGATATTAATATTTATATGAGAACCGTATGTAAAATGACACATACCTTTTACGGCCTGATCGGCCTCACTCTCACTTACTCCTGATCCCGGGTGGGAATAGACGCTGCCCTCTGGAGGCTGAAAAGCCATTTCTTTTGACCATGGATAAGAATGAAATACTGTAGAATAGTTCTTGATAAGGTGGGAATCCTCGCCGCTGAAAAATGAAAAGTGCATGATCCCGTTGAGATGACAAGCTACCGAGCGCCACATGATCTACACCTGTGACTGCACTGGGTCACCTTTCTGGAGCCTTGTCAGTGGCCTGTGCCCGTCTCTGTTGAGCTCAAGCGTTCAGCGGTACCTGCGGCAGGACTTACAGAGCACCGGGCATAGTAAAAGCTGTACCTATTAGCATAAACCTCTCCCCCACTGAACAAGACATAGCTGAACGCCTGCTAAGGGCAAAGCATCGTGATGGATACTGGAGCATACGCAAGATGAGTAAGGCACAGATACTAATGCCCAGGACTTTAGAAATCGAGTGCAATTTACATATGGTCTCTCCTGCTATTTCAAGGACAGAGGATACGAAAACGTTTTAGGACCACACACTGGGCAAACCTAATGCGAGTTTTGGGGACTGTGATTTTATTCCCCTTTTAGGATAAGGTTCGGGTGTGATTAGCGTGCCCAACGTCCCTGTGTTTGGCCCAGTGCACTTCCTGCCACCAGGTTACTCTCCTTTGGGATTCACTTGCTTCTTGGCTTTAGAGCTCCCGGGGGGGTGGCGCAGCTTCATGGACGGGAGGGGAGAGGCTCATCCTGCAGAGCACTGTGAAGTAATTGGGCTTTGTTGCTTTGTTCACAGCAAGATTAAACATTATTTCTTAATCTTTAAGTTTATTCATTTACTAATTAGCTTTTCTCCTGTCATTTGTAAACTGTCTTTTCCTCATTTACCTTTGGGGGATCTATCTTCCTGTTTGCTCTATCAATTTGTGTGAACTCTTTATATATTGAATTTTGACTCTTTTGTTACATTTTAAATAGCCTGCTGTTTTTCCTTTTACACTTGTTTTGGACCTAGAGAAACTGAAGATGTTTATAGAGTCAAAATGTACTCACCTTTCCCTCTGTGATTTTTCTTATTTCTCCAAAAACATTTCATTAATATTTTAAGCAACTTACTGGGGTTGACCCTTGAACCATGTGAGGGAGGGTTAGGGGTGCTGACCCTCCCTGCAGTCAAAAATCCACACGTAACTTTCGACTCCACAAAACCTTAACTACTCACGGCTTATTGTTGGCTGGAAGCCTTACCGATAACAAATACCGGTATATATAAGTTGATTCAATCAACATAAGTTGATTAACACATATCTTGTATGTTGTATGTATTAGATACTGTATTCTTACTCTTACAATAAAGGAACATAGAATAAAGGCTATTAAGAAAATCACAAGGAAGAGAAAATACATTTATGGTACAGCAGTACACTACTGCAAATAACCCGTCTATAAATGGACCCATGCAGTTCCAGTCTGTGTTGTTCAAGGGTTAACTGTCTATACATATAATTAAAACTAAATTCTATTATGCAGAAGAGCTTATAATAAAAAGCAGCAATCCAAGCCCTACCTCTCCCAACACCACTTGTACTCTCCTGAGAGTCAACCATTTTTTTTTAAGATTTTATTTGTTCACTTGAGACACAGAGGTACAGAGAGAGAGAGAGAAAGCATGAGCCAGGGTGAGAGGCAGAGGGAGAGGGAGAAGCAGGCTCCTCACTGAGCCAGGAGCCTGATGTGGGGCTCGATCCCAGGACCCTGGGATCATGACCTGAGCCGAAGGCAGATGCTTAACGATCTGAGCCACCCAGGCGCCCCGAGAGTCAACCATTTTTAACCACGTCTGTTTTTAGATATTCTGACAATAATCTTATTTGTAAATAATACGTTACTGGCTTTTATTGACTTATCAGTTTTAAGTCGATCTTTGGTAGATATGAATATCTGCTATTATCAGAAAGGATTCAGCTCACTTAATAACACTCCCCCTGCTTTTCCTCCCCCCAAGAGCCCTATCACTGTTTTCAGTTCCTCCATCTGTCAGATCCACACCTTCATGTATCGTATTTCAATCCTGCGTTTCTTGTTCCATCAACAACAGATGATGCATGTTGACTTTCCACCTCTACCTCCTCAACTTGGTCATTAGAGCTCTACTTTTCACTGCCAGTGTTAATTATAGTAAGTTTTGTTGTCAGAGTGTTGTCTTTTCATGATTTAGCCAAAGATTAATTTAAAATGTTGAAAATTAAGAGGTAATTGTTTACTGCAGAGCCTGGCGGTTGAAAGTGATTACACTTTCTTCCCTGTAGTTCCAACACGATGACTACTATTTCAGCACAGAAGTACATTTCTGGGATCAAATGTCAAATTCAGATTGACCTCCACTTGTTCACACTCCGCCTTTAACTTAAGTTCATATCTTTGCAGTAGAAAAGGCTGATGCAAATCGGGTCTATTCAGGATAAAGCTTGTCATTTAATGAGGGTGTCTCTGTCTACCAAGCTGATATTATGACTGTAGCAGAGATGAAAAGGGTAGAAGCAAGTTTTAATGAGGTGTCCCCAGGAGTTCAAGGCCCTATTACTAGGAAACACAGTCCAATTATCTATCTGGGCTTGTCCTTGACCCAGGAGGAAATGTAGTGGGTGATGTAGGCATACTGAGGGGACACGTCCAATGTGAGGACACTCATGCTGTCTGGGTTATGTCTAAAGGGCAAGCAGAAGCTGCAGTTCGTGGGTAGTAGTCCATGGCTGGAATCCAAAATCAGCTCTCCTGGAAAGCTCCCACACTGGGCATGGACACCTGCCTTCTGCTCAACCTACCAACTACAACTAGGGCTCGATGGCACCAACATTCCCAGGCAGAGACAGTCCAGGACTGAGCAATCTCCCTGCAGCTAGGGTTCTGCTTAGACGTTTTGAGTACTTGTAGGGACACCTGGGTGGCTCAGTCGGTTAAGCATCTGCCTTTGGCTCAGGTCATGATCCCAGCGTCCTGGTATCAAGCTCTGCATTGGGCTCCCTGCTCAGTGGGGAGTCTGTGTCTGCTTCTCCCTCTGCCTCTCCCCTGTGTCTGCTGTGCATTCTTTCTCTCTCTCCCAAATAAATAAATAAATAGTCTTAAAAAAAAAAAGAGAAGAAGCTTTGAGTACTTGTTATCAACAAATAGAAAAACTGAATTGCTCATTGGAAGGAGGGGATCCCTCTTACCAGGTTGGACTGAGTTCTTGGGTTTGTCTCTTTTTGTCAGACAACAATTTTTGGAATCCCTTCACAGAATACTAGCCCCCCTTCAGGTAGAATACCATGATCCTAGAAGACTTTGTTTTCCGACCTCTTGATCCCACATAAGGTAATTGAGCTTGTCTAAGAAGTACTTCCTAAAGAACTGAGACCAATACTGCCAACTTCTGGATTTCTCAGTGACTGAATAGCTCTTTCCTCTTGCAGTGGACAAGTAACATTAGTAATCCTGCTTGGGAGCTTCTCTCCAGAGTATACTAGACTGAATCTTGTTCTGCTAAATACAACGTTAGATGCATTTATGTTTTATGGGCCAGACCTTTTATTCCAAACTATAGAAGCATAAAGTCTTCTTCCTTCTTTTAATAAAAAACACACAACAATCCATAGATCTTATGGCTAAATCTCTAAAGTAATACCAAGATAGTATGTTGAAGGGAGCACAGAAAGAAAATAGCAAGAAAAATGTCACTGGATTTTTAATACGTATTAGTTTGTTAGGTTTGGTGTAGCAAAGTACTGTGAACTGAGTGGCTGAAATTTAATGTCTCACGGTCTTAGAGTCTATAAGTCCGAGATCAAGGTGTCAGCAGGTCTGGTTCCTCCGGAAGGCTGGGGCAGAGCAGCTGGTCTAGGCCTCCCCTCTAGCTTCTGGCGGTTTGCTGGCAGTCTAGGGCTCCTTGGTTTCTACATCGCCCCAGGCCTCTTCCGGTGCGTGTGCCTGTGTCCGAATTTCCCCATTTTATGTGGACACCAATCATATTGGTTTAGGGGTCTACCTTACTACCTTACTCCAGTATGACCTTATCCTAACTAATTACATCTGCAACAACCTTGTTTCCAAATAAGGTCACATTCTGAGGGGACAGGACTCCAGCAGGTGAATTTGGCAGGGGGTGGGGCGGGGATGGGAGGGGCACAACTCAACCCATAACGCATGTTCTGGTCTCTTATTTTTGAAAAAGACAGTAGGTCTTCATTTAAAGCACACACCAAAAAAAGGTGGGGGGCGGGGAATCACAGAACAAGGTCTGTCTTTCAACAATTACTTTTTCCTTTCTATCAAAGAAAATATTAAATGAAAATGCTTTGAAAGACAGATGTAAAAACGTGGTAGAGTTGAAAGACACACATATGTTACCACCAGCGAATAGTCAAACTTGAGGGTAGGTCTGAACCCCCTTTTCACTGTGGGGACAGATGATGTATAAGCCCAGTGTGGCCTGTTAAGCATATTAACTCTCTGTTATGGTCTGAATGTGTCTCTCCTTCTCCCTTCAATTAATATTGAATATCAATACTAATTAGAATACTAATTAGAATACTAGGGCCTCTAGTAGCTAGTGAAATGGTAGGCTTGAAGGAACCTCTTAGAAGGCAAGGTTATTCTTCATCATCAAGTTTATGGGAAGAAATCCAAGTGCTACAGCAATAAAACTCAGAAGTAAAGGAAAACAGCACTCATTTTTTAAACTGTCATTCTTATGACACATGCCATCAAAAAATAGCCCTTTGCTGTGGCAGACCTTTAAGATAACTTTTTAAAGTGACATTAATACTGCAAAAATTATTAAATGTTCACCACTGAAAATATGGGAGAAGAACAAAGAAATAAAAATTGGTCATAATCTCATCACTACACGATAATAACTGATTCTATTTTGGTGTATTTTCAGTATTTTTTTCTATACATACATATGAATATTTTTAAACCTAATTACACTGGATATACATATGTATCTCAATCTCCATACTTATTATTATATCATAGACATTGATGGTATTTAACGCCTTATAACTTTAACATTTGTTTTAACATGCAGAGTGATGTGAAAATTGTATCTAAAGGGCCAATTTTTTCCATTTATCAAATATTTCATCAAACCACCATGGATTCTTAGTTTTTTTTAGTATATAAAAATAAAATATATATCCTGTAAAGACAATTTAGAAGTTACAAAAAAAGGATAAAGAAGAAAATAAAAATAACTGATATTTCTAGAGAAATCTCCCCTGTTAATAATATTCTAGTGCACTTCATTCCAGTCCCATTTCTTGTCTATTATGTTGCCATGGATTCAGACACTGCAGAGACTCTGCCAAACCCACACGACCCCTTCTGAAGAATTCTCTACTTGGTTCTCTGTCACTGGTCTGGCCACAGATAATCAGATAAAGGATGGGTGCTTGATATAGGTGCAACCAATCCATAGACCAGCCTGTTTCCTATGAGGGCTCTAGCTACAGATCCCTATTCAAGAGTGGCACCCCTAGTAGATGGTGATTGACCCAACCAGCCAGATCTTTGCTTGGGAAATTTGGATTCAAGACCTATGTATGGAGAGATGGTCAATTGTAGAAGTAAACACAGCAGAAGCAGGAACAGAACGTAGTAGAGTGCCTGCAAAGGCCAAGCACTAAAATCAGTGGTGGAGTGTCAGCTGTGGTTTATATGTGGTCTTCAGTTTTAACACCTACTCAGCTTTTGAACTACACTTTGATATATTAAGCACTGGAATCCTGAAATGCCCTTTTGTATATTAGACACCAGCTGGTAAACATTTAGAAACACAGAGCTATACTAGTCAGAGATGTTAATTGCAAATTACAAACACCAAATCTGGCTCATTTTAATACCTAAAAAGGAGTTACTGAAAAGCTTTCATGTAGTTTATAGACTAATGAAAAACTGAAGAATCAGACCTAAAAACTGGGCAGGAACCAAGGTAAGCTAGGTGCCAAGAACACAGCCAGGTCTCAATACGGGAAGAGATAGGTAGATCATTACGGCTTGCCCTCCACAATGGATTCTTGATCTTCCATTGCCGGTGTCTTGATGGATCTCTAACTGCCCTTGCATCTTTGTTTCACTCCCTCAAGATTCAAAATCCCAGAGAGAAGCTTTCAATTGGATGAACCCAGGATATATGCCTGTGTCTTCCCTGGAGGGCCAGGATTTACTTCCTTCAAAGTCCATGGTGGAAGGTGGGGCCCTGCTCCCCAGTTTTAAGATTTCTCTGAAGCTTAGGGAGGAGTGCTGAGATCTTAGCTAATCAGCAGAAAATAACTGATTTTATTCGACAAAACTCAACTCACCTCTTCTCAGAATACGGTCCAATGGGAGCTTTAAAATAATCTTCACAAAGCTCAAAACTTTTCTGTAGTTCTAAAGCTGTAAAATAATGTAGACCATTGATAACAGGTGCTGGCACCAGACCCCTGAAATCAGAAAAAAACAAAAAAAACCAAAGAATTTTGTAATGATACCAAGCATACACACACGTAATACCTAAATACTGACCGATATACCCACATAAATGAAAATGCCAATAAAATCTATTTGGAATAATATAATATATCCACTCAACATTTACCCCAGAGCTTGTCTTAAAACACTAGCATTATTACATTCTAATTTGTAGATTAGGTGAATTTGTATTGTTTTGAATCTTCCTTATCCATTAAGTCACTAATATAGGCAAATTATCTTCCTACTGATTAGTATGTATTCTACGTATTCTCAGAAACTCTAGTCCATTTGTTATGTGAGTCAGCAATGTATCCACTGCTATAAAAATTGAAATAGATATTTTCGAGTTTTGTTTCTAATCCAGTGCTTTGAAATGATACCAGAATAAAATATTTCTAAAAATTCTAATATTATACTCTCAACTGAACTCCAGTGTAAAATATTCTTTTTTCATCTCTACTAGCCTGTTTCCCCAGAGTGACTTGGAAGAATCATTAACCATTTTTAGTGAAAAAATCCTGTTGCTATTCACCTCAGACTTGCTAAATAGAGTTGCTGTGTGCAAAGTAGCCCAACTGCATATAAATGCATGCAAATTCGAAGTATCTATCTGTCCTGGTATGACCCATTTGGAGCTCATATTTAAAACTGCTTCGGTTCTCTGTCCCCAGCGTTTTAATAAGCATGGCCCTGCTGCTGGTCGGAGGTCACACAGACTCCAGCTTTGCTGCTCCGGAAGACATGGCCTATCTCCTGGTCATTACCTTCCTGGCCCTTCAGTAGAACTCTGTGTATGCCACACAGCCTATTTTTTGAATCAGACTATCCAAAGATAGCCTATCAATATGGAGAAAATTCATCACACTTTTTGGATATGTAACAAAGTGACAAAACTTGGTTTCATTTATATTGGATGAAGATTTTCAACAGATAGCTTAAAATTACAGACAATACAAAGAACTGAAATTGAAAAAAAAATTTAAATGGCTTCTTTATTCTGCTTCCTTGAATCACTGCATTCTCAAAAGCTTTTTAAAATGCTATAATTAAGGTCTTGTCATGTTCTTACTAACTTCCTGAAAACAGAGACTTCACTTTATTACTCAAATTTTCTAAAATGTGACACAGGAGAGAGAATTCAGAATAGCAAAGCCTATAACATTAATGAGAAAATAAAATGCAAACATTCTATAGCTATCCTGTGACCTAGTTATTCATTTTGAGTAAATATTAAAGCCTAAATGTGCCTCTTGATATGTAATAATTAATAGTACAGTAATTATTATAGCCACTAACATCACGAAGCCTTTACTATGCAGAACAACTAAGTAAAACCTTTCATATTAAGAATAGAGAATTCATAGGTTAATAAAGATACAGTGATTCCCACCCTCATGGAATTTACAGTTTAATATGGAAAGGAGGCTTTAAACAAATGACTTTGCACATAATTACTATTGTTTTGAGAGTCATGATGGACAAGAGCAAGATATATAATAGGGTATAATGAACCTTCCGTCATGAACAGCCTTGGAAAAGGCTGATATATATATATTCAAATTTCACCAGAAATACCATTCTTTATAGGCTTCAAAGAATGAAAAAAAAAAAAGCCATCAGTTTCTAACAGTTTTGAACACATTATGTCTTTTTAAAGTATATATAAATGAAAGGAAAATAAAACTTCTAGAACTAGGTTTACTACTGAATCACTAGGTCCACTTTAGTACAGAGGCCCCTGTTCACGTTGATGATTCATTTGGTATATCTGGATACTAGAGAATCAATCTAAAGATGCCCAGGTATAAATAAATGTGATACATCACTACCTTTGAAACAGGAGTGTATGATGAGGAGGTATCTTTCCCATCAGGGCCTGCCGGGCTGTCTCATATTGTCTCTCTATAGATTCTCTTTCCTAGGCAAGGAATATGATCAGAAAATTATGTTAAAAATATGTCAGATGGTGAAAGTAGCCATAATCAATATATTCTTACTAGAGATTGTCAAATATGTGGAAAGAAAAACGGGGAAAAGGACTAAAAAACAACTGGTATTGGTTCAATGGAAAGAAAAAAAATTAAGTATTTTTACGAAGAACACAATATATCAACTTCATTTGACATCTAAATAATGTGGCAATTCCTTGTCAATGTTTATATATTTTTTTATCTTTCCAATGAGATTATCTCTCAAGGATATATATTATTATTGTCTTTTTGTCTTCCCAGATCTTCACACACAGAGTAGTCAACTGATTGATTATATCCAACGTTTCAGTACCACCCTGAAATATCTCCCACATTTCACCAGCATGTCACCATCACTATATACTTAGTAAACATTTGATGGGAAAAGAGAGACATAAAAGACATAATCACCGCCTTCAAAAGGTTTATAATCTGGTGGCAAAAGGGGATTTAAAAAGAGAAAAAAAGATAGCACATGCTGTTTTATAAATAGTATAATGTGTGTCTATATATGGATTATGTAATGGAGTGTGATCTGTTTAGCAACCATCCAAGTGCTGGATTTCCTCACTTTAAGCAAAGCTGATGTATAAAATTCTCAATTTCCAGAAAAGAAATCAGCAAGTTGCTTATTTGTTTTACATAAAAGACTAAAATATAAAGGGATTTATAATAACATTTATTTAAACAGCAATCTTTGCTTGCAGTAACTGAATCTAAAATAAACCTCTTTTGATTTTAATGTGACTACCAGGTTCGTCTATGAGTTGATATTTAGTTAAAATCACACAAGAAATGACAGCAAACAAGTACGCTAGAGGAAGAATACACACCAAACCTACAGTTGTGAGCCCATAACTCTGGGCTAACCACTTGTTCTAGCCTTGGGGGCTACCATAGTTTCAAGTGGTTGCGTGTGTTTTGGGGGAATTTTTCAAGAATCAATTTTTAAGGGGTAAGTTGATGTGATTCTAAAAAACATTTTTGCATTACAGAAATTAATCTGCAGGAGTGATGCCAAGGTTGGCCCAGTGAACACCCCTGGGAAACAAGTCACTCCCCAGAGACCAGAAGTCCCTTTGGTCACTCCTATGTTTCCCTGTACACAGCATACACACATCTGAGCATGAAGTGGGTGCTCAATCTATATCTTTAATGTACAACAGTATATATTTGGGGAGATAATATAAAGTGTGAATAATGTCTACCATTCTTCATGATCTGGAATAGAATTTGCTGTCAACGGTTGCTAGCTTGAGAAATTCTGGGTCATGCTTTTGAAAGTGTTCCTTAGACACCATGACACATGAGAGCTAACATGCAAACTCACTGAACACAGGCTCTCAGGTGTCTATTTGGTCATCAAGACCATTTAACGGTGTCCCTGGCCATTAGCTCTGTGATTCTGTCTAAGCAGGACAAGGAGAAAATATCTGTTGGGCTGGAGGGATGGCGTCTGTAATGGGACAAGAAATGAAGAAAGAAACTCTATTTAAATTTCACCATTTAAAACTGTTTAAATAACCCCATAGTCCTTGCACTATCATCTCCCACTTAAATTGTTTCATATTACTACAAAATTACTATATATTGACGAACTCTGCTGTCCTATCCACTCCCAGGTTAATGTGTTATTATTTTTCCTCAATTACTCAATAGCAGTACATATGTTCTCTATTGTGATTCTACTTTATACCATCTTTATTTTTTTCTATATTGATCTTCGATTTCAATTATATCATGACTGGAAGGATATGACAGTAATAGTGGAAGTATAGTCTGGATCTTTCAGAATTCCCACACAAAAATAGTTAGAGCAAGCAAATGGCAAAATAAAAAACATATCAAAACATCAGCAAGACAACTAGGTGAAGAGATTCCCCTCAAACCCCAAATCCCCTCAAACCCCAAATCAGAAGAGAAATCCCTTCAAACCCCAAAATACAGGTGATAGTAGCACCACCACCACATGGTACCAGTGCCTATGCAAGAGGAAGACAAAGGAAGCAACAGGGGAACTAAAACACCTGAGAACAGGAGAACCTCAAAACAGTTAAAAAGTATTCACTGGGAAGAAAACAGCACAACTGGGCACCACAGCTGGAATCCAGGGGAGCCTGTTCCTACCCCAATAGTGGGTAAGAATAAGGGGTCCACAGTAAGTTCTGAAACTGACCCACGGGGCCCTCTTCTAAGACAGGGTCCCACCCTAGAGAAAAGCTGATAGGAGTGGAATCAGAATTAATTAGGACAGAGTCAACAAAGAGAAAGTCTAGACCAAAATGGTGGAGGGGAACAGCTGGAAACCCCCAAAAGAAAACTGCCATATATTTAAACACAATTCGAAAGAACCATGCTTCCTTATAAAAGTTTGAAAAAACGAATTTCACATAAAAATGAGAAATTTCCTAGTAAAATCCCAAAGCTATTATTTTAAAAAGAGGAAAAGGAGCAGGATAACCCCTTTATATACAATGAAAGTGTGCTCATAAAACCGATAAAATCTGTCATCTACTATTTCAAAACTAACTAAAAGACATTAAGGAAATAGCATAAAACATTAAGAAACAAATAAATTACAATTTTTTTTCCAGAGGGAGAGAGCACATGAGTGGGGGGAGGGGCAGAGAGAGAGGGAGAGAATCTCAAGCAGGCTCCTTGCCCAGTGCAGAGCCCCACATGGGGCTCGATCTCACAACCCTGAGATCACAACCTGAGTTGAAATCCAGAGCTGGACACTTAACCGACTGAGCCACCCAGGTGCCCCAATAAATTACAATTTTTAAAACTCCTAAATGAGGTGACAGACCTCAGGAAAGAATTAGAAATATATGGGGAAAAAGTCACTTCAGAAATGAAAACTAAACCAGAGGGAATAGAAGAGTGAATAAAAACAAAAAATAATACCTTCAGAGGACTAGAAAGTGAATGGAGGAAATTTTTTAAACTCAAAAAGAAATCAAGAGGTAACAAGATTCAAGAGAAAATGACAAATATTTAAGATAGACAAAGAAGATCCAACATGCAAACAATAAGAGCCCTTGATAAAGAAACCAAAACAAGCAAACAGGATAGGTCACAAAAGCTACAATTCGAGTCTCAAGTATGACAGACAGACTGTCATCAGCAGGCAAGAACTCAGGAAATGCTGCCCCCGTAGCCCTTCCTGGATCTAGCAGAGAATGCACCTAGACAACAGAACTACTAGATATTGGCCTGAGGTCTAATGATGAGTATCAAGTGTGTACATATTTGAGAACTAACACAAAATGAGAGTTAAAAGGGAGCGAACATATGACTATGTGTTGAGAGTGTAGCTGTAACACAACCACAAATAACCAGGGCTGGGGGTGGGTAGAGAACATGTGCAAACAAAGTTTTTAACTGTTCTTGGTCTTTCTACTGGGTGCTAGTCGTATTGGTATTGTTATTTGGAGACTCTTCTGTCCATGATCTGGATAAGAAGAGAGAAGAAATGAAACAACAAGGATTGTATAAGCAAGGAATAAGGAAATACACTGAATATTTTATTACTATTTAAACTCATATTAAATTATGGTCATATTCATGGAAAGTATTTGATATTGATAAACTATTAGAGTTACAAGCAAGAAAAGTGATGTTAGCAGATGTTTTTCCAGATTTGAAGACAAAGAATAATACTCTTGGACATTTCTTCCTAACAGAGACAAGCCATGTGGGTCCTAGTGATCCCACAGATGAGAAAACACAGCTGTTGGTACATTAGGCATCGGTAATCCTGAGGATGTTGCCAGGCTCCATTAGCCCATTTTCTACTCAAAGAAAGAAGGCAGTGGTAGAAGGGCTAGAGACACCGACCTCACCCCACCGATGAGAGGAGACCAGAGGCGTCTCTACCAGACTGTTCCATTCAATAAGGGCAGGGATCAGCTCCACTTGGTTCTAGTGTCTAGAACAGGGTCCAGCAAGCAAATACCTGCTATCTACTGAAAAGCAAATCTAATCCTTATACATGGTAGGAATTCAACAAATTCAAGATATGTGAGAAGAAGGGAAGATGAATGAGTGAGAAGAAAGGAAGGAAAAGAGTTAGGGAAGGGGAGGGGAGGGGTGGGGAGTCCTCTGCATATGGGAAAAGACAGGATGGCTATGACAGCAGAGGCTCTTCCTGGGATTGCTCAACTAGCAATGACAGAATGGACTCATCCTCCAACGAACCATCACACAGACTACGGACACTACTTTCCCCCACGGCCACACCTCCCGTAGCTCATTATTTCCCTTTTCCCAGATTTATATCCAGGGGGACAGGAAGCTAAGTCTCAGCCCTTAGCAAGGTCTCACCCTAATGTGCTCTACTGCTGTGGTCTTGATTCCTCACTCTCTTCGAATCCTTCAGATTGATCATGTAGTTGCACCTGTTTGGTTGTGGTTTCAGCATCAGCCCTGTAGACTGCCCTTGATTTTTCAAGCTGCAGGAAATCCTACCCAATCCCAGAGAGGTTAAGTAACTCACTGAGGCTTGTCCAGCTAGTGAACAGACAAATAGCCCTCATTCCACGACACCAGGTGCCCTCCTCCACCCCCAAGTGCCAGCATCCCTTGCGTCCTTTTCAACCTTTGCCACCTCCTCCCCTCTCCCAAGATAAACACTCTCCTGACTGTTACAGTAACCACTTCTTTGTTATACTTTTAGCACCTAAATATGCATCCCTAAGTATTATGGTTTAGTATTGCCAATTTTTAAATTATATATTATCAGAATCATATAGTGTGTACTCTTTAGAGTCAAGAATTCTTTGGTTCAACAGGATGTTTGAGAGAGACATTCATGGACCAAAGTTTGTTCATTTTCATTACTGCACATATTTAACTGTATGAATATTCAAAATTTTACTTGGCCAATCTACTGCTAGTGGACACTTGAATTTCCAGTTTAGGACCACTATACACAAGGCTACTACGAACATTCTTGCACATACATTTTGGTGCACGTGGCCACACACTTCCATTGGAATCCCACTGTTGAGGCATAGGGTATGTGTACACTCAACTTTAGTGGATAATGCCCACTTACTTTCTAAAGTGTCCAAATTGAACCTTCCACCAGTTGTCTTATAAAAATTTCCACTATCCCACATCTTAACGGTCAGCTCAGACTTTTATGCAGCAGTATCTTACTGTGGCTGTAATTTGCATTTCCTGATATGAGGTTGACTATCTCTCCACATCATTATTGGCCATCTGGATATTATCCTTTGTAAAGAGGTTTTTCCGTGAGTTATTCTTTTTTAATAATTTATAAAAGTTTTTTTATATATTCTAAATAAAAGCATTTTGTTATACTTATTATAAATATCACCCCCCATGTGGTTTGTCTTTTTTCCTCTTTAATACTGTTTTTTTATACATGTTACTAATTTTAATGTTCCTCAATGTTTTAAACTTTTCCTTTGTAATTAGTGCTTTTTGTATTACATTTAAGGAATCTATACCTGCCTTAAAGTCATTAAAATCTTCTCCCATCCAAGTACTAACCAGGCCTGACCCATAAAAATCTTCTCTTCCATTATCTTCTAGAAGTATTCTTGCTTTGTCTTTCACATTTATATAGATAATCCACCTGAAATTTTGTAATCACACCTTGACATCCATGAAGTTAGAAACTCCGCACAAGGAAAGTGCGGAATATTTGGATAGGATGAGACAGAAAGACCTCACGTACACAGGGAGTTTGAGGTAGATTTGAGCAGAGAGGAAGAACACTGTCTTCAATTAAGTGGGAAGGAGCTTCAGAGAAACAGAACTCAAAAAGCCTAGATGATGGAAATTTCCACCTATCCATTACTGTCAAATGGCTCTCTTGATAGTTTCTAAAGGTAAATATGAATACATTAAATCTACAGTGAAGACACCCAAAAAAAGCACAAAAATTTCTACTTTTGGGGGGGAACAATTTAAGATACAGGTTTCTGACAGAGGAAGTTGCAATTTTTCTTCAATCCACTAAAAGATTTCAAAAATACATGGAAATTTATGTTGGGGAAAGTAAAATGAGCAAAATAACATCTTCTCCAAAAGGTTGCAATGAAAGGTACATGAGATAATTTACATGAAAGCCCTTTCCAAATTACAAATGCTGTGTAAAGGCTGTTTATGTTCTCTAACATAACATGATAACGTCTCTCTAAAGTTGCTGCTGTCATGTTGCTCATTTTGCATTGTTAACAGCTACACAAGAGGTTAATAACCTAAAATCTGAACAGTACTTAAAATTTAAAAATAGTATCGAATCCATCATCTTTAAAAGAAAATGAGGCACTAAAAATAACCTTAGGCACATTACACCCTATATATATGACAGCAGCAATTTAGTATTTTGCACCTATTTCTGAAGAATGTGTCTACCTGTTGGTTGTTGGGGGATTTGATTTGTTCTCTGTGAAACTGTTGTTACATTGTATCTCTGCTAGCACTGATGGGCAAAGACACCAGAACCTGGAGGCTGCAAGGAGTTTGAGCATTGTTACCATCAGGGATCAGTCACTGCTAACGTTCTAACAGGGGACACAAGAGATGTTCTAGACCAGGCTATGGATGCCCTGGATTATGGGGCCGAACGGTTTCTCAGGGAGGTGACTGCAGGGGAGGAGTGACCCCGGGGAGAAGTTCATGAGACTACTTTTGACCACAAGCGGTCTGCAATACCGGCACCCCTCCCCCGTCGACCACCACCAAGGTGGCCCCTCGTACTATCACACTGCCTTTTTATCATACTCTTCCCTCTCCAGTTTCTCCGAAGTCTTCATTAATTTTATACTGAATTATTATTACTATTATCGATTATTTGTTATTATTATTGGTCATGAATTATAGCTAAGAACACCTTGTGTGTCTCTGAGTTTTTTTGTTTTTCCCCATCTCTGTTCCTTTTGTCCTCTGTTCTTGCTCCTAAATACCTGAGTGCCCTTGACCAGACAAACGCTGTCTTTAAGCCTGGAGGTTCTCTAACAGGTGAAATTCAGACTGGTCATGTTTAAATAAATCATGATTACCCACTAATGGGCAGAGGGGCGTGGCAAATCAATGGTGTGTGTTGCTCATCAGTGTGTGTGAGGTTGTGCGGCAGGACAGCAGAAGTGGGATGTGAGGGGTTCTGGCTGTCAGAACACAGACTTTATCATGAAGGAATAAGTGTGGCCAAGGATTTGTTCTGGAGTTTACGCTATGGATATTGCCATGTCCTGGGGACATAAAGAAGAACCTATATTTGCAAGTCTAAGCCCCAACAAGCATAAAGCCATACTATCCAAGGACAGGATAACAAGTGTAGAGAGAAAGGGGGGGACTGACCCATAAAGAACTGAGATTTTCCAGGACGGAAAGGTAGAGGCTGAGAGGCTCCTCATGGAGAGGGAGCCCCCTAGGGGTCAGTACTAGGCGAGGGTACTGGTAGTAGAGGATATGGAGAATACCAGCGCCACTGGCTCAGAGCGGAACTCAGGCTCTTAGACTAGGGGCATCTCCATGGTAACCATGGTGGTCTGGAAGCCAGGGGCTCTTCCCCAATCTTCCAGGATGGTGAAACCCTCAGGGTTCTTGAACTTGATCCAAAGAATGGGAGTGATCCCAACTCTTCATGACTGATATTTGACTTCTCACAGATCCTGGTGGATGGCAACAATTCCAGAATTGATTTATTTTGGACAAATCAATATGATATTTCCTGCCACTTAAGTATCATGGTACAAATTCATATTATTTATACATGTTTAGAGTGCACCCACCCTCTGTTCCTCCTAAGAAGCCCTGATCTGTACCCGTGCTGTTTGCCCTTCCACAGGTGACTGGACAAGCAGTCTCACATGATCTCTGTGGAATGGCTTGAAAAGTCCAGCTGGGCCAATTAGATTCTCTTGCCTCCCACAATATGAATGACAGAGACAGAGAGATGTGACCAGGAATTGGGAACACAAAGCCAAGAGGCCATGGAGAGTCAGGGCTGCTGTGCATGAGAATGAGCTCAAATTACGTGGGAGAGAAGCCTGTGTGAATGGAGGAGCCTGGCCAGGAGAGATAGGACCACAGAATACTTGAGAATCAGGAGCAGAGATGACAGGAACTTGATGCCTCTGGAAGGCAGAGAAATCCGAGCACCTCACTCGTTCGTTCCAGTGCCGGGCAGTACCTGTGAGGTCTGTACTTCATCCCTGTTCATGATGCACTGTGAAGCCACTCGTTATATTTTTTCTATGGCACTACCTCTTACTTAAGCTGACTTGATTGGGCATCTATTTCTTGCACGTTGAACACTGGCATCATAGGACTTAATCTGAGCGGACCGCAGAGCTATGCCTGGGTATTCTGCAGCCCAAGACTTTTCATCTGAAGTAACCAGTCTGATTCTTTTGACCACTGCCTATGGTTCTGACTTTAGAGTATGATGTGATTATTTGCTGACAACAGCCTCGCCTTCAGGAAACACAAACTAGGAGTTGACAACCAAAAGGCAAGTCCTGTAGCATCTGTGGCAACCGCAGTGGCCATGACTTAGGCCTCCTCATATTCCCAGATCATCCTATAAAACTATGACAAATGGAAAATGAGCACAACCTAATATGCATGCAGAGCCAACTCTGCACTCAATCTTCCCGCACATACCGATTTTTCTGGGTGGTCCAAGAACTGAGTTGGGACAGTTATATGACTGGCTTGAGTGCTGCAAAGTTATAAGACAGGGCCTCTGAGTGGACTCATTTTGAAGGCTAAGCACAAGAACACTCAACATTTTACCCCAACAAGAAAGCCAGTTTTCTCTTGAAATACATATTTTACCACGTTAGTTCTGTCAAAGTCCTTTTCTATTCTTGCTAAAGAGTGTCCGAGTTTTGATTAAGGGCTAGAGAAAGGTACTCACAAAAGCTACACTAAATATTCTTTGTAGAGCCCATGTCTATTCCTACAGGTGTAGAAAGAGGCTAAAAATTTGTCTTCAGCTCATACCAGTCAGAGAAGAGTTTTGGCGAAACTTAGTCTCAAAATACCCAAATCCCCTTTTGGTCTGAGCCATGTGATGCTCAGATGAGGCTCTACCCCTCCCCGCCCCCCGCCCCATCCTTACCACTGGGGTTTTTTTGGCTGCAAGTTTGGCCCATAATTTCACAAAGTAGTTTCTGTCTGTAGAATCCAGGAAATCACACAAATTCAAAGTGGAGAGCTTCCTAGAAAACTCCTCAGATTTCATCGGAGATATCTTAATACCTGGTAGGGAAGAAAGCAAAGTTTACAAATAAAAGGCATGAAATAGGATAAGGGAACTTCCTGAAGTGAGGGAAATTTTTTGTATCTGGATTGTCCCAAACACAGCAAACTAAATACTTAAAGTCTGTGCATTTCAACTTGAGAGTAAGATAACAAAAATATGTCTTAGGGGCGCCTGGGTGGCTCAGTTGGTTAAGCATCTGCCTTTGGCTCAGGTCATGATCCCAGGGTCCTGGGATCGAGTCCCACATTGGGCTCCCTGCTCAGCGGGGAGCCTGCTTCTCCCTCTGCCTGCCACTCTGCCTACTTGTGCTCTCTGTCAAATAAATAAAAACTTTAAAAATATAAAATAAAAATATGTCTTAGAAAACAAGGTAATAATTATTATTGATTATAGTAAAGACAGACCACAGCACCTAGTACACGTGCCCTGGGAGTACACTCAGTGCTCTCAACACAGGCTTATGAAGGGAACTGAAGTAAATCTTCATACATACAATACCTTCCAGACACTTAAAAGTCACACTGATAATTACTTTCCATTTGACAAAATTCTCCTAAAAGGCTAGAAGGAAAATAAAACATGCAACGCTGAGAAGAAACTTAAAAAAATAATGGAATGGATGATGAGGTCACTGTTTGACAGTATTCATAAATAATGCTGAAAGCTTCCTTTAAAACACTAGAATGTCCAGAGACCTAGAATATAAAGAATCTAAATTTCTATTACTGCTCATCCACAGAGAGCCCTGGTGTAAGTGCTTTTGGATATATATATGAGCATCAACTCTTTCAGGAATATTGCTTTAAAAGTGCTAAAATATTTAAAAATGCCAAAATAAACTATTTCCACATGTCCCACCAGTCAATATGGCTGACTGAACAGACATGGGAAGCTCTCCTCACCCAAAGACAAGAAAACACTAGATAATATATAACAGAAATTTGTCTTGCCTACATAGCACTGCTGAGAAACAAGAAAGAAAAATTTCCAGGTGCTGGAAGTGAAGGTTCCAAGTCAGAAGAGTGGGAATCAATGCCAAGAAGTCCAAGTGCTTCTGGGGCTGAGGTTCCTGGACTGAGAGGAGTCAGTCCCTGTGTTCTTGATGCAGAAGTCCTGGGCTCTTTAATTAGGTGAGAAGCCACAAAGGGGGTGTCTGGAAATCTCAGCCCACGGACCGAGAGACTGTGCCTGGACACAGAGTCTCGCCCGGACTGAGGGTGGAAACACCCATGGAAAATCAGGCCTCTGATCCTGTGTTGCGTGCTGGTATGGAACCTGAACTCAAACTCCCACCAGATTGTGTGGCAATCCCAGACCAGGAAGATAAGGAAAAAACTTGTAGGCAAGTCAAAGTATTTAATCATGTCAGAAAGTCTAAAGCTCCACAACCCAACACCTGCCTTGAGAGAGAGAGAGAGAGAGACAGAGAGAGACAGAAACTCAGAAGATACAACAGATGAGTGAGTCCACACCCGAGGAATTCCAGGCAACAGAGCAATCTGAGGAGCACTGAGGTAACTACGGTTCTAACAGTCACAGCGATAGTAAGGGATAATCGCATGTGGAGACCTTCTTTGTTAAATCTTCATGATGGAAAAGCCATTCAATCCATATTTGTTGAGTACCTGCTATGTGCCAGCTAGGGCTCTGGACGTTGGAGATACAGCAGTAGAAAGTCCTGAGCTGTGGGAATTACATTCTCATGTTGGAGAGAGACAGACACCACATCAGATGCTATAGGTGGCAGTATTGTGCAATGAAGCGAATGGGAAGCCAGATAAGGAGACAGAGCCAGAGAGGGCGTGATGGTCAGAGAAGTCCTCTCTGAGGGGGTGACATCGGACAGGCAACTAAAATCACAAGAAAAGCATTCAACTATCTGGGACAAAAGCATTATCATGCAGAAAAAGGTGCTTTGTATAAAGATCCAGGAGCATGCCTAACTGAATTAAAGAACGGAAAGGGCTGAAGCAAGGGGTGGGGGATGGGATGGAGATGTTGGAGCCTGTGCTCATTTAAAAAAAGCAAAGAGGGAAAATACTTGTCCTCTTGATGGGACTCTAAGAAGCAAAAGAACTGTGAAAAAGACCAGATGAATTTGAGAAAAGTTAAGATAAAAATGAAAGAAATGGAAGCTATATTCATTGAGAAAATTTCCACAAAATTTCCAGTCTACGTGTCAGAGTTCCTTTTTCTACCTTTCTGAGACATCAGCAATTTGTACCGTGGTGTGAACAAGTTAAGTTCAATCTGATGATACAATGGACCTATAATTCCAACAATTTTATGTCTTTATGGTTTCTCAACAATAAAGCATTTTGGGTAAAGATAATGTGTTTACATTACTATTAAACTATCTTGTAATGCCACCACTTTAATGACTTGGACTCCTATAATGAAGAGTTTCATACAGTTCTTAAAACAGTTACTAATGTCTTAATACATCAATGGACAGGGATCCTGCTTCTCAATTAAATATATATATATAATTACCACTGTTACAATACCCTGCAACAAGAGTTTAACATATCTTATTCAAAGTATCTACATTAAAGACAACCTTGAGGCAACATTAAAAAATATATATAAATTACAGTCCACAAAAACAACCAAGTCTCTCAGTATAAAGGCTAGTTAAATTTATGTAAACAGCTACAATGAAGCACAAATGAATTTAATGATGCATGACAGATTTTAAAGTTATTTTATGGATTAGTATCATTATTAAACACAGGAAAATATAAATGAATTACCCAGAACAAGTGGACGTACATCTCAAATTAGTTCTAAGTAGCTTAGACCTTTTATTTAGACTTCTATCCCTTTGCAGTCAAGTGAATTAAAATAATCTGCATAAAACATTTTAAAAGAAGCAGCATAGAAACCAACCTAAATAACAAATGCAGTATGAGCCATGTACCTAAGAATAAAACATGCTGAGCATATATTTAATATCATACCATCACACAGACAAAACAAGGCCTTTTCTTGCACAAAGCAGGAAATACAAAATGTTGATCTGACATTACTGGCACGCGGCCACATATCCATGTCAATAACTAGGAATAACATTAGAATTTGGGAATCAGACTGCGAATATTTTGAGAAACAAAAATCCCTACTTTAATAACCAATGTTTCTAGGTTAATGAGATTAGTTATATAGCAAAGCAACTAAGTCATTTTCCTGTTCAAAAATATGAGACTAAACACTTGTAAATATACATTTTTTAACGTTTAAACAAAACCCTGGGAAAAAAATCAATCAACTGGAATTTGTCTCTGTTTGAAAACCATGGGAAAGGTATGACTTGGAAACAGGCTTTAATTTTCAAACAAAAGTTCTCAGATAACTGGATGGTTTCAGAATTGTTCATGCCCCCCCAACTCAAATGGGGTTTAAAAAAAAAACAACACGTTTATTTAGGAAATAGTGAGGTTTTTTTTTTTTTTTTAACAAGAGAGAGAAATTCATCCCTACCATGAATAAACCCATATACATATAAAATATACTTGTAAAATCACTGTAAAGGAATACTGAAATATGTAACATTAAAAAGGCCAAAATCAAATTAATGCACAATAATCTATGATACAGTATTTATTTTTATTGAGAGTTACATAGTTTTAGTGGAAAATTAAAGGAAAGCTCAGTTCATTGGGAAGTATCACAAAACTAAAGGTTCTGAAAAAAGCTATTTTTCTAGGGCAGAATTAAATCTTGAAAGTCTTGTCTATCTGTGCTTCCAAGTAAGGAATAAAAGCAACTAAAATGTCACATAATAGCCATAATAATTTTCCATAGCAAAATAAGCTTTTATAGTGGAAAGCTACCAAATCCAAGGAAATAGAGTAATAATGTTCATGTTATACATGATAAAATGAGTATACTTATTAAATCATTCTAACAGTAAAGTGCTCTGTTCCTGAGTTTCTAATAACAGGATAATCAGCTACTTAAACAGAGTCTATATCAAGACAAAGGAAAGCATGTGAATGTATATTCTCAAACAGACAGAATGAGGTACAAAAAAAAGTTTCTTTTCATTGAATTTCACACTGAAACCTCCTCAGTACAGCTGAACTAATGGGCTCAATATTTGGTCCCTGCATTTAGAATGTCCTAATTAGAACATATAACAGGGGTGCCTGGCTGGCTTAGTTGGTGGAGCATGAGACCCTTGATCTCAGGGTTTTGAGTTCGAGCCCCACCCTGGGTGTAGAGCTTACTTAAAAATAAATACATATATAACTTAAAAATAAAATAAAACATATAACAATAGTGCCCTGAATTTTTTTTTTAATGGATGAGTTTATCAAGAAGTAGTTAATTGATGCTTTGAAGGAGATAAGAGGACAGGCAAATTTCAAGACTGGAAACTTGATACATAAGATCTGCACATGTACAGCACTTGGGCAAGAGAAAGGAGAAGCAGAAAATAGGAAAGAAACATTCAGGGAGCTTGGATACACATAAAAGCCTTCTTCTCCTTTAAGTAATATGTTTGATAATGAGGCTGGTAATGAGACTTCCACCCAATCCTACACTCCCACCTCTGGCAAGCGCAAGGTGCTTCCTAAGGGATCATCCTTCAAGAACAGCTTTTTCAAAGATGTTACTTCATTGGTCAATTCTTCTACGAAAGACTTTTTTTTTTTGGCGGGGAAAAGTGGGTCTTCCTTCACTTTTCTTTGTCCGTGGAAACTGGGGGTCTTTAAAATTGGGTAGCTTATAGAAGTCAGTCTTGGTCTCAACCCACCGCAAAAGGAAAACAGAATGCCCACTATCTGGTAGCTGATTCCGAGTTAAATAACTTGACAGCACTTACTATCTAACCAATTTGAAACGCAGAATATAAATGGCTTTGACTTTATCAATAAAGAAATAACAGTAGTAAAAACAATAGATAGCATTTATTGAGCATGTACTATGTGCCAGGTGCCGTGACAAGCCTTTCATGTGTGTATCACAAGTAAATTTCATAATAACCCTAGAG